CAGTGGGTGAAGGTCCATGTTCGATGAAGCCAACAGAACAACATCGTCTGCGAATAACAGAAATGAAATCCAGTGGTCCCCGAACCAGACCCCCTCCAGCCCAAGGCTGCGCCTTGAAATTCTTTCCATAAAAATTATGAATAGAATTGGTGACAAGGGGCAGCCCCGCCCGAGTCCAAAATGCACTGGAAACAAATCTGACTTAGATTCAAACCAGACTCCAACTCTATTCATACAGGAACAAGACTGCCCTCAATAGATCGCCTCTGATAAATATATATATATATATATATATATATATATATATATATATATATATATACAATAAATTTATACAACAGTTCTGTCTGGTTTTCAAATCTGATTGGCTGATAACCGTGCGATATTCTGCAATATCAGAACTCCTACATCCTCTTTACCCTTTGTGTATTACTCCGCCCACATACAGCCAGCAAAAAGCAGACACTACAGATCTAAAGTTTAAAAGATGCACGCTCAACTGTTTAACTGTCAGCTTATGATTTGAATCCAATGTGGAAAAAAAGTAGTTCCTCATACAAAAGAGTTTTTGAAACTCTCCATGTTTGATTTTGTTTTTATATACACAATTATGCCGTCAAACTGTTGTATAAACGCAATATCACACTCGTAGCATTGCGATATGGGTGTATGGGCCTCGTGCCATCGCACGCCTCCCACCAGTGCCGATATACAGCCATATCGCACTGCTACTCGTGTGATATTGCTCTTATATATATTACACCCGACACCTACTTAAATCTGAGGGCGGAGCATTTTGGAGCCAGGCTAGACACTGTGATCAGACCCTTATCCCTCTCTCCATCCTGATAAGGGGAATAACACGAGTTAGGGTGTCTTTCTAAGCTCAGAGCCCTCTCCCCGGACAGCACGATAAATATGCTTATTCTATTTAGTCAAATATCTGAGTGTGAACTCTTGAAATACGGAAAACTGTTACGGATATTTTTTACAGTGTACTAAAATATCAATAAAAGTAATTTTATTAAACTGCAGAGTTGATTTTTAAACATCAAAAGTGGACAGAGCAGAGGTCAACATCTCATAATGCAATTCACGACTGTAAATAACATACAGACTGTGAATCACAAAATACAGAACCTGTTAATGAACCGATCTTTTTTACAGTGTAAGAAACGCTGTTCGCCGGTGGCATGAAACGGCAACCCGATTGGCTACATAATCAAAGGAAGTGCTGGTATCAAACATGCTGGCCTGAATCCTTTGAAGATGAATGGTTGCTGTCTTAATTTGTCATGATTAGGGTTTTTAATTTGATTTGCGAATACAAAACACACAGAACAGTGTCGACAGGCCTTCCCGCTGTGCCACGCCGGCAATGGAACGGCAGTATTTGTTTGAAGCACTTAACAGGTGTTGATCGGCGGTCTTTGCTGCAGCTTAGGGAGATAAGGCATCCCGCAGAGGGGAGAGACCTCAACACGTTTAATGAGGAGCGCGGGAGTCAGGCGAGCCGCCTTCGTCCACGGCTCCGCTTCTGGAGACTGATCAGCATGTTAACCGCTCACAGCATGAGCCAGAGATATGAAAGTACGGAGCTGTTGTCAATGATTTAGTCCAACACCCCTTGACTACGTAGGGATCAACCCTCATCCTTTATGCATTTGGTTTCCGCATTGCTTACCTGCTGCGAGGCGCCACCAAAGTGGCTTTACTAGTGGTGTACCTCTGAAAATTTCGATTCAGATGATTTTATGGTGAATAAAGGAATAAATAAATGAAATCAAAATACAGATTCCTTCTTTAGAAGCTAGCTAGACTTAAAGATTCTGCAGTTTTGGTTATTTTGCTAATGGTAAGGATATTACACCAGCCACTGGGGGTATTACTGGTGTTCACAAAATAAAATAAAATAAAATAAAATAAAATAAAATAAAATAAAATAAAATAAAATAAAATAAAATAAAATAAAATAAAATAAAATAAAATAAAATAAAATAAAATAAAATAAAATAAAATAAAATAAATGAATGAATGAATGAATGAATGAATAAAAAAGTAAATAGCTAAATAAATAAATAAATAAATAAATACAAAAAAAATTAGAAATTAAAACATTAGAAATAAAATAAATGATTTATTTTATTATTTTTATGATACTACACCTGCCACTGGGGGTATCACTGGTGTTTAAAAAAAATTAAATAAAACAAAATAGAATTAAATAATGAATGAATAAAAAATAAAATAATTAAAAAATAATAATAATAATAATAATAATAATAAATGATTAGAAATTAAAACATTATAAATAAAATAAAATAATTATAAATAAAATAAAATAATTTTTAATAAAATAAAATAAAATAACTAGAAAATAAATAAAATTAAATAAAAGGCAGTATTTTATGTTGCTAATGTTTATGATACTACACCCGCCACTGAGGGTATCACTGGTGTTTAAAAATAAAATAAAATAAAATAAAATATTTATAAATAATTTAAATAATAAATTTAAATAATTATAAAAACTAAAAATAGTTTGAAATAAAATAAAATAAAATAAATTTGATGTTGCTAATGCTAATGATACCACACCAGCCACTGGGGATATCACTGGGGCACTGGTGCAATTTTACTTCTAAATAATTAGAAATAAAATAAAATTATTAGAAATAAAATAAAAGGCAGCATTGTTATTTTACTAATGTTATTAATACTACACCAGCCACTGGGGCTATCACTGGTGTTCACATAAAATAAAATAAAATAAAATAATTGTGTTTTTATTTTTTAACAAATACAAATTTCATATTATTTTACAGATCTGTTCAGTGATTATCAAATCCATTCCTGGGAACTCATGGATCTCCACATTTTGTGTGTCTCTTTTATCCGTTAGCACACAAAATTCAGTTCACGGATCTCTCTGCTAACAAGCTGATGATCTGAATCTGCTGTGTTAAATATGTAAGGCATACAGAATGTGTTAAGCGTTGAGTCCTGGGGACAGGAGTTGAGAACCACTGGTATTATTACAAGTAATTGAAGTACTTACCCACACTCTGGAAAAGAAAATACAGAATGAAAAAGATAACCTTTCGTTTTCAAAATATGCATTAATGTTCCACAGACAAAAGTCAGTCATAAACAAGAGGAAGAAAAAACAACAGAACTGTTCCCATGCTGATACACCTCCGGTGACCTGTTATTGTGAACTTTTTCTCATTTTATACGGCTCCTTATACAGCATCGATGTTGTAATGTCATTAAAATACATTCAGTTAAATAAACTTTAGCATTTATTTAGTTGCTCAAGCATGAAACGAGACAAAAAGCCGTTTACTCGCACGCGCCCGTCAGAATCGGCAGGCTAACGCAGAAGCTCCATTGAATATACTGGGGTAAAATAAATGCTCATATTATAAAGATATGGCGGGGAAAATGTAATTTAATGCAGTGATTCTTGTGCAATCTGAGACCCACTTTAAATCAGAGATCACTCAGCTAGTGGAGATCGCTGATTTTTAAAGAAAACAGACCTTAAACGCACCAGATTTTGCACTGGCATTCAATTTCCCGGAAGCACTTAACCCAGGTTAATGGCAAATTAAAAGTCCTATTAGCATGCTTCGGCATATACCCAATAGCAGAAGAGCAAAAAAAAAAAAATATTATAAAATGGTTAAGATTATTTTAATTATTTTACTTTAATTTGCTGGTTTGTTCTGTTCAACAGGATCAGTGTTAACGTTTTATTAACAGTTCAGTTTAGTTAATAGTACCTGGACTTTTCCTTACACTAATCACCGTTTACAGTATTTGAAGATTTTACTTTACTAGTAATATTTCTATAATTTGATACATTTTGTTAAATGACAGCAATATAATATTTGATTTATTTATTTATTTATTTATTTATTTGTAGTTCTTGGTGATTTTCTTATGATTTATCTGTCACTACTTGTGTATGTTAACAGATAAACACAAGTTAATTATATTAATTAAATAATTAATAATTATTATTTTAATAATTAATCAATTAATTATATTATTTCCTAAAATTATATTACAGTTCCTAAAAATTTGGGTCGCGCCTTGATGACCATGTAAAAATGTGGGTCCCATGGCCAAACCAGTTGAGAACCACTGACTTATCGCAACAATTTCTGTGTCAATGTATATCACACAACAAACATTCCTTATTGTGACAAGCCTATAACCTTTCTCATTTAAATCACAATGCATTAGCATTCCACCTTTGCTATCTAACCACACACAAATGTCTTATTCAGACAATGCCTCTGCTGTATATACAAACAGACCCCTGATGTTTTAAAGTAACATTTACTCATCTCATAACTACTCCGTTTGACAATCCAATGCACACAGTTGCATTCCACTACATTTATTTTGGACCAGACGTGAGGAAATACCCTGTAATGCAATGATGTATTAAAGGATATTGTGATATATTTAGTGTATCTTGAAGAAACCTAAGGGGGGTGCACACACTGTTTTTAATGGGCTCCTAAGTGGCTCGTTACTGTAGTGACGATGTTTCCCATGAGACCGAGAGTGTGTTTTATGGGAGGCCGTCGGAGGGTGTAAACATGCATCGAAGAAAAACATTTAAAAGATGAGATACTGTTTTTGACCGAGTCCCTTTTTGGCTGTGGAACATGCACCGGTCGCTTTAGCATTGAAAAACCTGTTTCCTGTCAGAAATGGATGGTAGCGGAACAGGTTTTGGAGAAGAGAGCAAGATGAACAGTAACGACGGCCTTTGAGGTAAATGGCTTGTTTGTAATGCGGGAGGTGCTGTTTCAGATCTCAGTCACCTTCCAGCGGAGGGTTTCAATGAAATCTGTGTGAGTTTGCTACTGGATGGAGGAGAGAAAATAATCGGACTGCTGCAGTTTAAAGGAGGAAGTTTTTAATGCCCGAGGAGCTCTTCATCGACAGCCAAACACTGACAGTCTACTGTGGTTTTCTTGCAGGCTTGGAGGTCAATGATGGTTATCTCTCAGAGTGACTTCCCCGGATCGTTGTGACTACAGTGATTTCGACCCAGACATGCGGAAAGCAGAAAGTCCAGTCAGAGCCAGGATGGGCTGCTCAGAATGGAAGTCTTTGGTCCTTTGTGGCCTTGTATTCGTCTTGACGGTTGTGCAGAGTTCTGACGGTAAGACTTGTTTTTTTTTTCCCCCTCACAATAAAACAAATCTCTTGTAAAAAAAAAAAAAAAGTGATATCATCCCAATTAGTCATAGGTTTCATGCTGTTCTTGAGTTTACGGTTCGGTTTTTATTTTATGTGGTGGACGTTTGAAGCAAGACACCATTTCTGGTAGCTGGGATAAATAATGGCTGCTTCCTTCCAGACACATAGCCCGAGGATCTTGGGAAGCTGTGTGCATTAGCACAGAGCCTGCTTTCGTTTTCCTTTTGGTTAAATTAAAAGAAAGACCATACAGTGTTTCCGAGTTTTCCCTCATCTCATCTCCGTCTGTTTACTCTCATGTCCTGTTCTAACTATAGGCCTAAACCCTACAACTGCTCATTATAAACAATATCCTCAAGTAAACACGCCTCATTACACTCTGTCCCTGCCGTAATATCTTTTTAATGCATTTTTATAATTGAATTAAATGGGTTACTGCCATAGCCATGGCTGGAAGTTTGTGCTTGCGCAGAAACTTTGAAAGATTGATTGCTTGAGGGTCTGTTCCCCGTTTCTCTCGAGTATATCCTAGAAACTTCAGATCTCATCTTTCTGATTTCATTTCGTGGGCCGAACGCTGTCTATACGTTTGTATGGGTCTCATTTGTATTCCGCGCATCTTCTCAAACGACATTTTCTGGTGTTTTATGAAGCCCAAATGCAAAGCAGTGATGAAGTATTGTGGAGCCGGTTTATTGATAGCGTGTCTGCCATTGAATTCCATGAAATGTGGCTTTGTGCTCTTATAGGAACGCGTCAGGGTTGTATATGCTGAATGCAATATCAGTCTGAGCTCCTAATGCTTATTTGATAATCATGCAAGGGATTTTACTGCTACAAAAGAGCTTTACGTAACTGTCGGTTGAATATTACATTTGTTAAAACACACTAAATATCTTATGTATGATGTCAAATTTGTGGTGGTTAAAATTTATGTCTGCTGATGTGAATGTGTGTTGTCGCATTCCTACTGCCATGCAAAAACAGACAGTCAGGTAACACTTTGTAATAACTTTATAACACATTAAGAATTCACAAAACATTCCCGAATGGCTGGAATATACAACATTGTTTGATTTGGTAAAACAACAACAATAAAAATATTAAGAAATATAAGAATGTGATCAAACATTTCAGTGGTATTCAGTGATGTTTAAACTGTACACTAATATAATTTTTAAATAAGATTGCAGAGGTTTATTTTTATACAGTTGTAGTTTCATTTTTTTGTAAATTAAACTTCTATATTTGTGGCCTGAATTACCGATGTTCGATTCCTTTTTCTGTTTAGATGATAACTGAGCCTTTAATTGCCGTTTATAAGTGATTTAAAAAAAAATAGTCTTCACTGTAGATGAGCAGTAGGAATTTGTGTTAATAAAGCATTTATTCACGTACACAGTAATTACAACTATACGCCTGAAAAATAAGATGCATACATGTTTACTTGAATAGTTTATGAATCATTTACATACTTGTTCTGATTGCTCTTAAAAGCCACCAACTACTCTTAAATAAGCCTTTGCTTAATTTAAAATCGTTAAAAAGGTGTGAAAATACAGTCATTAAGCACATTATATACAGTTGAAGTCATTATTATTAGCCCCCCTTTTCATTTTTTTTCTTTTTTAATTATATCCAAAATTATGTTTAACAGAGCAAGGAAATTTTCACAGCATGTCTGATAAAATTTTTTCTTCCATAGAAAGTCTCATTTGTTTTATTTCGGCTAGAATAAAAGCAGTTTTAAATTGTTTTTAATCCATTTTAAGGTCAAAATTATTAGCCTCTTTAAGCTATATCTTTTATTCGATAGTCTACAGAACAAACCATCCTTATACAATAACTTGCCTACTTACCTAATTAACATAACCTGCCTAGTTGACTTAATAATCCTAGTTAAGCCTTTAAATGTCACTTTAAGCTGTTTAGAAGTTTCTTAAAAATATGTAGTAAAAATTATTTACTGTCATCATGGCAAAGATAAAATAAATCAGTTATTAGAAATGAGTTATTAAACTATTATGTTTAGAAATGTGTTGAAAAAAAATCTTCTCTTCATTAAAAAGAAATTGGGGAAAAAATAAACAGGGGGGCTAATAATTCTGACTTCAACTGTATGTGCTTATAAGTCAATAAAACACCATTTGTGGATGTATTTATTAAGAGCTAATGTAGAGTAACTGGTTAACAAATTATGAACTACATTCTAAAATGCTGGGTAATTTCAACCCAATTATGGGTTTAACTCAGCTGCTGGGTTAATTTTCTTTCGTTAAATTAAATGTGCTGTATATACATTTTTAAATCTTCTAAAGTAGAAAAATGCCATAATTTGTGTGCAAATATTTAAGAAACATGCTTGAACTTACTTGTTTATCTGACAAACAATGCTATGTTAGTTATTCTGCTTTGAAATTGTGCGTTACGTGCCGGAACGGCTGTCTTTGTTTTGGTTTTTAAACCCCCCTAATGCCAGTTAGCACCTCAGATTGCCTTTTGGTCTCAAAGTATGCATCTGTGTAAAATGTCCGGGATTTGGTTTTGCTTTAGTTTTTAAGCTGTTGTTAATTTTAATCAGTCTGATCAAGTCTAAATCAGTCTTTAGGCTTGCTAGTCTGGCTTGCTCTTGGTAATTTTTTTTTTACTCTTTTTTTTTTTTATTGAATACAAGAATAATAACATCACTGCATTGAAGAAAAAATACAATAACAAAAAATAAGAGAGAAGACAGAGAGAAAAAAAATCTACACAGCCTCAATCATTAAGAAAAAAGATTATCATAAGCTTTAAGAAACTTATTATTTTTATTATTATTAATAAGCTTGAGAGATTCAATATTGTAACAATATACAATTTCAACAAGGAAAGTATTAAAAATAGGTATTGTTTTTAGAAACTTATTTTTGTGTATAAAAAATTTACAGTGTAACAGAGCATGATCATCATCCGAGAAATACAGAAATATATCTTTTATAGACCAATTTAAATCTGGTTTAAAAATGGATAATAATTAAAAATAATGTCATTCCAAAGATGTTTAATGTGAGTGCAACTATAGAATAAGTGAAATAAAGTCCTCATGTATATTGCAGAAAGTACACAAATTAGATATATCAAAATAATTAGCAATTTGGGAATTTGTAGGATAATCATTATGCAAGATCTTAAAATGTATCTCTCTTATTTTGTTGGATATGCTGAATTTTTCAGGTAATATCCATGCTCTCTTCCATTGAATGCAGTCAGAGAAGTTGGTCCAAAAAAATGTACATCTTGGGGTGGTATATACAGAGTAATGTAACAATCATCTGACATATCTGTTGTCACATTTTTTATCAAAAAATAGACACTCCATCCAAAAAAAAGTTTAGGCATAATTGTTTCCCTCTCATTAAAGAAAAGAATTGTCTTAAATAAATGCACATAACTTTGTGACAAACTCTTTATAACACAGTTGAATGCTCTTGGTTAATAGTGTGCAGTCATTATAACGTGTTACTATTGTTTAAAATGTGTTTGTGTTTGCATACTCAATCTTAGATAAAACATGTTTCAAAGTAAAAACCTATTTAGTACGTGAGATTACTTGCTATTAAAGTCAACAGAACTCATGTTGACTCATTCATGTACAGTAACGGGGTGCAGGTTTATTGTCTGATAAGTTAATATTATTATTTATCAGCAATTACAGATTTCCTTTGAACACACGTTCGCTGGCTTATTTCATGATGGGGTGAACTAATTTCGAAAGAAAGCTTTTCTTTATATGTCTGGCCAATTTGTCGGTACAGTCTGTGAGTAATATGAGCTGTTCTTTTTTTTTTTTAATTATGGAAGGAACGGAATAATATCCATCCGTGTCCTGCTGCCTTGGGCTCATTCAGAACGAATAGCAGGGAACCGTGGCCTCGAACCAGTGGCCACCCGCTTGTATTCATAAAAACACTTCATCTCCATCTTAATTCACATGTGGTCAGCTTCTGTGTGACTTTCCCAGGCAGGAAATTCACATCATCTTAACATAAGAGCGTAACAGGGCTCCTGGCATCTGCAGGTTTATGACAAAACAAAATTAAAAGGTTTAACTTTTTGCTTTACAAAGAGCTGACTTTCGCCTGCCTCTGTTATTTGGCAAATGTATTAGCTCTTTCTTTTTCGTTTTTTTCGAGATGCAGCCGTTTGCAGTCTTGACCTATGAATCCTCCATTTCAACTGGAGTTTTAACTCACAACTGGAGATTTGGTCAATCATTTTAGTTATTTAAAGGTCATTCCTATTGATTTTCGGAGTGGAAACACGATGCGCATAAATACAGAACTGTAGGGCAGTGATTTGCATGTCTCTGAAGAATATCAAAATATAAAATCAGTCAGCTTGGAATGAAACTTTCACTATAAGCCACATTATTAATATTCATTCATTAATTTTCCTTTGGCTTAGTCTCTATTTTAGAGGTCGCCACAGAGGAATGAACCACCTATTATTATTATTATTATTATTATTATTATTATTATTATTATTATTATTATTATTATTATTATTATTATTATTATTAATTTATTCATTTTCCTTCTGCTTAATCTCTAATTCAGAGGTTGTCACAGCGGAATAAACCACCTATTAATATTATTATTAATATTATTATTATTATTAATATTCATTCATTCATTTTTCTTCGGCTAAGTCAGAGGTCACTACAGTGTAGTGAACCGCCTAGTATCATTATCATTAATTTGTATTATTATTGTTATTATTATGATTATTATTCATTCATTTGTTTTCCTTTGGGTTAATCTCTATTTCAGAGGTTGACACAGCAGAATGAACTGCTGTGTGTGTATATGTGTGTGTACATGTTTTTGTGACATATCAAGACACAAATCTGTGTAATGACATAGGTATGACACAGGTATTACAAAAAAAGAGGTGAAATATGAGGACATTGGTGACGTCCTTGTT